AAAATATATAGCTAAAATCAATATATAAGTTTTTATTAAAAAAATTAAACTTTTTAATAAAAACACAGGCAAATTTGCCTGTGTTACAATTTCAAGATACTATTTGCTCTTTGTGCTCTAAACAAATTAATAAAACTTCCAGTTAGCTATAAAATATAATTCTATATTCTATTTTTTTCTCATTATTATCTATAAATCTATTCTTAATATCATTTAGATCCTTAATTAAAGATAATATTGCAATTTTTAATATTTTATACTTTTTTGTTTCTGAATGTAAAATTAAAGTAAAATGTGAACTAGGTTTATAAAGATTAAATTTGTTATTAAGTATAGCAAATGTAACTATAACCTGTTTAGCTTTATGTCTAATGTTATGACTATCTTTGAAAATATGAATTTTAAGAGTTAATTGTACTAAATCTAAATTACTCTTAACAACTAATAAAGGTATTAAAAATCGTAATATCTTTAATTGATTATGATATAGTTTTTTCTAATAAAGATTCCATCTCTTTTATGATTTCATTATTATAAAAATAAACATCTATATTATCTCAAATTCTTCAACTTGAAGAGCTAATAGCTTTATATTAACAGTATATATTGGTATAATTTTACTTATTTTATTTTATTATTTGGTTCTTTTTTTCTTGCAAAAATTGCACTTTCTTTTGGTAAATAGTGTTTAATAGCAAAAGGAGTTTGGTATATATCTCTGAAATATAATGTTTATCTATTCTTTTAATTATAGCAATTTGGTAAGTTTTTTCTAATTTTTAAGAAAATTGATTATATTTAATATGAAATATAGATAGATCTATTAATACTAAAAGTTAATTCATATAATTTAATATCATCTTGTGAATAGTAGTTATGTTTAATTTGATTTTTAAAGTTTGCAAACAATTTAATACCTATATTTTTATTTTGTATAACTTGTATTTTATTAGATAAGTTTGCAAATAGTTTATGTCTTTTTTCTCTATGTTTTTTACGAATATGTCTAAGTTGCTTTAATTGCAAGCCAAAAAGATAAACACTATTTATTGAACTTTTAGATATCTAAAAATTAAATCTTTTATTTAAATACTATAATTTAAAAATTTAAAAGTTTAATTTACTATATATATATATATATACCTGATTTAAATATTTAGTTTTTTTTTTATTATAAACTTTTAAATAATTATTTGCAGCAGCCGTAGATAATAAATTTGAACAAACAAAATCTTCTTCTTTAAGTCTAAAAATTATTTTATAATGTAGACATTTAGCAATATAATTTATATAACAAGTAACTATTTGTTTATTTTTTCTATAAGTTGTTTCTACAATATATTAGTGTATAAACAAGCTCAGATTCTAATAAATATATATCTGGTTCAACAATATACAGTCAGACCTCCCTAAATGCAAGTTGTCGGGACCAGCTCTAGAGCGTGCATTTAGGGAGGGTTGCAATTAGAG